GATGCTACAATCATCGCGCCAAACGAACGCAAAGTTTTGTTCTCCGCCAATCGGTCCTTCTGCACCTCTTTAAACAGCTGGAAGATTTCACTAAACTCGCCGTCGTCACCCTGATCTCGCCGCTTTCTTTTTTTTTAGATATATTAGGCGTCGACGCCACGGGATCGCCTGAATACCTTTCAGGGTACCCTTCTTCGTTCTCATCTGCCAACGGAAACAGAAGCGGCGATGACGGAGATTGCTCAGACAGCATGCTTCCATAGCTTGTGTCCAGAATATTTATAGTGCATCGAGTGCTGAAAATCGGGCATTCTATCAGTAACTATACTAAAGTAAAAGAAACCAAACTACTTACGGTCTTGGTGCTATGAACGGCTTAAGGAAAGCCATATTGGTTGAGAAGTGCCAGGTCGGCTGCGAAGCCGGCGCACTTCCTGNGTCCAGAAAATTTTTAGTGCATCGAGTGCTGAAAATCGGGCATTCTATCAGTAACTATACTAAAGTAAAAGAAACCAAACTACTTACGGTCTTGGTGCTATGAACGGCTTAAGGAAAGCCATATTGGTTGAGAAGTGCCAGGTCGGCTGCGAAGCCGGCGCACTTGCTGACAGGGCATCAAGCTTCCGCAATTTGCGGGTATATCGCTCACGTAGTGATATCCAGCGCTTGGTACACTGCTCTTCTAAAAACGTAAAAGGATATTGTTCATACAACTTAGATTTAAGGATCTTTACACAAATTTGTCGCGCCAAGCTCCCGCGATATTGCAGCCCAAGCCGCCAACTTCTTTGCCGGCAACCTGTAGCCCACGCAGGTTTTATTGTACAGGACTTCATTGTCCCGCACCAAGTCAATCAACCGCTCCTCGTCAATCATTCTGAAAATGACAAAAGTATCATTTAATAAACGAAAATTTAACATTTATTTAACAAATAATGCTTACTTTTTGTCAAAATCCAAAAAAGCGCCAAGCGTCTGTGCTTAATTAAATGTCAAGTGTGTGAAGAGAATTGTCAAAATCAAGTAAACAAACGCAAGTTTCATCACAAATATTAAATGTCACTTGGACTTTCCGTAGAAAATCAAAATTCAACAGACTTGCAAGTAAAGTTATGTTCGATTTGGTGTTGGCTAATCACTTTTACAGAAAATTCATTAAACAGAATCATTATGTGACACTTCTCAAGTCAAGTCAAGTGAAGACAAGTATGCATAACTGAGCCATAAACCTTTTTCTGAGTGTATTACTTTATATATATAGATTATTTCACAAAAAGTATGTGACCGCTTTGAGACAGATGTGAAAATTTTCTGAGCTGTCAAAAAGAATGAATGACTGCTTTATCAGCATTGGTGTTGCCAACTACCCATGTCGCTTATTAAAATTTCTTAACATTAGGGAAGTTTATACATAGTTCAGAATTTTAAGTATACTAATTCAGTGATACAAATAGATATTTTAAATTAATTACGCTATGCGAATAAATGGCGGTGGCTGAAATAAAAAGTGATACACCATGTTACAGTTTTGCTCATCACTGTATGTATCTACATACATAAAATTTAAAGCTGAAATACAAAGACCATACATTTAAAACGTTATAAAAATAACGTATAATGTATTTATATTAGGTACAAAACAAATTACAAAATAAGAATGCATACATGTACGTACAAAACAAATTACAAGACAAGAATTCATATATGTAAGTAAATCAAATACGTACATGTATGTATATACAGTTACCCATACTTTATAGTAATAGGAGTGCGATCTTTTGACCATTTTTGAGAATTTTTTTGGTTGAAGGTGTTTCGCATTTTTTCCATACAAAGTATGTTCGACTATTTCTCTTATATGGAAGACACTGCCATCAAAAAAAATTCTCAAAAATCACTGGGATTTTTTACCAACTTGAGACTTGCACTTCGTTACACTAGAATTAAATGGGCTATAAAACTGCATACCAAAATTGTTAAAATTCTGATTAAAAAATTTGAAATTTTGGTTAAACTGTGCAGAATTTTTAAAATTTGTATACAAAGTTTTAAATGCGACTTTACATGGTGTTTGTTGTATAACACGCTACAATTTTATAAACAAATACTAAGAATTAAATAAACAAAAAAGAAATAGTCAAAACTGGTCAAAAGATCGCACTCCTATTATTTTGTGGATAACAAACAAAACAATAAACGTTACAAATTAACTTTACTTCAGGTACCGTTTTTTTAAGAAAATAAATTACTAATTCATTTACATACATAACAATGTAAAGCATTTAAAATCATTATGTTAAGAACATTTCAATAACCTTTAAAGTATTGTGAAAATCGTGTTGATAAACGTTTTGGTTACTTTGTTAGCAGTTCGAAAAAAATTAAAGTAGCCAGCAAAAATGAGCAAATAGTATTTTTTCGTACAATATTCATAATGTTTGTTGTAGAATGAACTTTGTATGTTTTGCTTTATAGAATATTGTACAAAAAAGACTGTATTATGATTTGACATTAGTCGTCAGGCTCTAATTTTAATGTCATCACAGCATTTGTGATTATTTGGATCGCTTTCGCCTGCTTCCTTTCATTCATCTCGCCAATAGATGCTACAATCATCTCGCCAAACGAACGCAAAGTTTTGTTCTCCGCCAATCGGTCCTTCTGCACCTCTTTAAACAGCTGGCAAACTTCACTAAACTCGCCGTCGTCACCCTGATCTCGCCGCTTTATTTTTTTAGATATATTAGGCGTCGACGCCACGGGATCGCCTGAATACCTTTCAGGGTACCCTTCTTCGTTCTCATCTGCCAACGGAAACAGAAGCGGCGATGACGGAGATTGCTCAGACAGCATGCTTCCATAGCTTGTGTCCAGAAAATTTATAGTGCATCGAGTGCTGAAAATCGGGCATTCTATCAGTAACTATACTAAAGTAAAAGAAACCAAACTACTTACGGTCTTGGTGCTATGAACGGCTTAAGGAAAGCCATATTGGTTGAGAAGTGCCAGGTCGGCTGCGAAGCCGGCGCACTTCCTAACGGGCGTCAAGCTTCCGCAATTCGCGGATATATCGCTCACGTAGTGAAATCCAGCGCTTGGTACACTGCTCTTCTAAAAACGTAAAAGGATATTGTTCATACAACTTGGATTTAAGGATCTTTACACAAATCTGTCGCGCCAAGCTCCCGCGATATTGCAGCCCAAGCCGCCAACTTCTTTGCCGGCAACCTGTAGCCCACGCAGGTTTTATTGTACAGGACTTCATTGTCCCGCACCAAGTCAATCAACCGCTCCTCGTCAATCATTCTGAAAATGACAAAAGGATCATTTAATAAACGAAATTTTAACATTTATTTAACAAATAATGCTTACTTTTTGTCAAAATCCAAAAAAGCGCCAAGCGTCTGTGCTTAATTAAATGTCAAGTGTGTGAAGAGAATTGTCAAAATCAAGTAAACAAACGCAAGTTTCATCACAAATATTAAATGTCACTAGGACTTTCCGTAGAAAATCAAAATTCAACAGACTTGCAAGTAAAGTTATGTTCGATTTGGTGTTGGCTAATCACTTTTACAGAAAATTCTTTAAACAGAATCATTATGTGACACTTCTCAAGTCAAGTCAAGTGAAGACAAGTATGCATAACTGAGCCATAAACCTTTTTCTGAGTGTAATACTTTATACAGGGTGTCCCAGAAGTAACCTGCCAAAATTGAGGAGAAGGCAGGTGGGGTAGTTAGCTCCCTGATAGGCAAAACTTTTTCAAGTAAAAGTGTCACCGTTTTCGAAATATTTAAATTTTTTTGAATTAAAGAAAAATCGTGTCTTTTCATGTACTTTCTTTAACTGCATCTACAAACAAGGCTATACTTAGTAAATTTTTTATGTAAAATACTTCCAGATAGTTGCTTCTCCATATTCAAATGCAATGTAG